GTGACCTAGAGCCTGTGGGAGCAGGACTTCAGCATCTCCAGCAGCTGTCCCAGGAGCCAGACGAGGCCAGCATGGCTGAAGAGAGGTGAGCCGGCATTTCTGGGGCCCATCTTTGCCCCTGGGTCTGACCTGCTGTGGGACCCTGGCCTGCCCCTGCCCGTCTCTGGGCCCCCCTGGCGCCACGTTTGTCCGTCACCTGGAAGCCCCCCAGCCCAGGTACCTGGTTCCTGAAAGACCTGCCCTTCCTCCAACTTTCCCCATGGCTCCCCGATTCCTGCCTGCCCGTGGAACTGGGAAGAGCTCCGGGGGCTGGTAGGGAGTTTCTGGTCTGTGCTCAGGACCCCCTCCTGGAGGCAAGCCTCGGGTCTGCAGCTGCCCTAAGTTGGGGCCAGTCCCCCGTCCATCCAGTGGCCACGATGGGCTCCTGGGTGGGGTCGGCCAGTTCTGGGGACATGGCGGGAGGGCCCCTCGAGCCCGCGGCACCAACGGCATCTGTCCCTCCCGCCCTCCCACCTGTAGCGGCGACATGACCGTTTCTCTCATCCGAGACTGAGGAGGACGGTGCCTGCAGGTAATGCCTTCCTCCGAGCATCTTCCCTGGGCCCCCCCTCCTCCTCACGCACAAACATGTGCAAGAACGGAGTCTTTTCTGGAAAACCCCCCGGAGCTGACGGGCCCAGCAGGCAGGAAGTGTGCAAGCCCCGCCCCCCCCCGCCCCCGGAGCGAGAGCTGCTGACCTCACCGACCCCATCAGTAGCCGAGCACACCGGCCACCTCCTAGCTCCTGCTTCCGGGGGGACGGCCGTGGGGCCCCTACGTCCCTGCTCTGAGCATGGGGAGGGGGGCACGAAGGGAGCTGTGTATTTGCAGGAAGCCGGCCACATCTGACCACCACACCCTCACGCCAGGGCCCGTGTGTCCCCCCAAGCTCCCGAGCACTGCCCTTGGGCTCCCCTCCAGGGGGAGGCCGCTCAGGAGCCTCTGCTCAGAACCGGCCACGGCCGGTTCTGCCCTTGAGCACCCGCCCCAGCCTGAGACTCCCTGGGTTTGGAAACTCATGCCGCACTCGAGCTCCGTGGCGGCATCTACAGCAGGAAGCCCGGGCAGCAGAGATTCTGGGGAGCCCTGAGCTGTGCACCCAGGAGGGGGACCTGCGAGGAATCAGCCCCTGGGCGGCCCAGGGACCCCAGCTCCCGTCCCCGCGGCCCCCCCAGGGCCCCGAGACCCTGGGCCCACAGACCCCTACTTGCCCTCAGCACACAGCGGCGTGGTGTGCGGGCAGGGGTAGCACTGCTCAGTGGTGGTTTCTGCCCTCGGTAAATTATTTAAGAAACCCGCTTTGTCATTTTATCAGAAAGAAACCAGCGTGTGACTTCCCTGGAGATAACACTGCTTTTTCATAATAAAGACTCTGCTTCTGAGTGTGACATCTGTTCTCTGTGTCACACACACACACACCAGTCGGGGCAGCGGGGCTGCGCTCCCCCGTCCTCCCCGGGCCAAGCGGCCGGCCCCCAGCTCGGGGGGAGCACGAGCAGCAGGAACTGTCTCTCAGCTTCACTCGAAACCAAGAACACCTTAAAGGCAAATAAGGTTTTTATTTAAGTGACAACATCCGAGAGTTAAAAACCAGCTCACGTCAAAATCAAGACCAGTTGTAAAAATCTTTTAACTCCGTAACGCGGTGTGTATCTTGTTAGAAACCTGGTATTTTACATTTTCTCCTCTAACGGATTTTGTACAAGGCAGCCATGAGGAGTAGGGGAAAACCTTTCACCACAGAACCATCCACCACAAGTAATACTGAGAGTCACACATTTAGGAACAGGCAGACCACGGACAAGGTCAGACAGGCTGCCGCCGCGGAGTAAACAGAGAACAGCACAGTGGGGTCCCGGGGTGGAGGGCCCCTCGAGCGGGCTGCCTCCTGTCCTGCCCCTCGGTGTCACCTGCCGATCCTCGTGCCAGTGAGGGTGGGGTCCCACTGCGTTCCCTCCCGGCCCCAGTGGCAGGGCCCGGGCCGGGCCTCGCTACTGCTCGGGGACATCACCCTAGCTGTGATTTTTAAGAAAGTGTCCCCAAGCCAGAGGGAGGGTAAGGAGAGAGGGGTGGCTTCTTTTGGCTGAGCCAAAGAGAATAGGTTTCCAGAGCACTTGGCACCCAAACCCCCAGGATTCGGCGGGAAATTGGTTATTTAAGGCGGGGGCAAGCTGCGAGGCTCTGCCGCAGTCCGGGCGCCCCTCGGGGGGGGGGGGGGCCCGGGGGGGGGGGGGGGGGGGGGGGGCGTCCGAGCAGAACCAGTGCCACCTCCCCACCCGCTGGGACTGGGTTTCTTTCAAAAACCGGCGCCCCGTTTTGCCTGCAGGACACGTCGGGAGCGCAGACTCTGGGCTCCAAGGCGGTAGAAGGACCATCTCAAGACCGTGAGACCCGGCCTCCCCTCCTTCAGGGAGCCCACGCCCCGGCAACCTCCGGAATGTGGGGTCCACACCTGCTCTTCCACGGCCCGGCACCCAGACAGGAGGGCCATTCATCCAAACACATGAAAAGAGTCAACTTTTTTAAATACGTGTTTTGTGGAGCCTAAGGGAGGAGTCGTGAGATCTTCCAGAGACAACCCATGATGCCGGGAGAGCAGGCGCCGGCCAGGGGTGCACCCCGAGCCCCCAACAGGGTGAGTGTGGGCGAGGGCAGCAGGCAGCGCTCCGGCAAGGACAGCCCCGGATCGGGAAGAACAAACATGCCACGCGAGAGACGAGGAGCTTTGGTCAGGCAGGAAGAGGGGTTCCCAGCCCCCAGGGAGCAGGCACACCGGGAACTGGAAGGGTTCTCTGGAAAACAGCCAGACCGGGTCAAGGAACTGCTCCGGGGAGGGGCAAGGCCCCTCCAGAGGACAGCACCACTGGGTGCTTTGTTTTTCTCGGCCCGGAGTGGACGGACACACAGAACAAGCCCCTGGTACAGGAACGTGTGTTGGTTAGAGTCTCCAGGAGAACCGAGCAGCCTCCCGCTGCAGAACCCCACCCCGCACGCGCCCCAGCTGGGGCTCCCGCTCACTGTGTCCCGCTGTACACCTGCAGCATCGCGGGCGTGGGTCCTCCGAGCTCCAGACAGCAAGGCGGTGGCCTCCGGCCAGGTGCCCCAGCCCAGCTCGAGCCCAGGCCCTGGAGCCCTGCTCACGGGACGCAGGTTCCCCTGCAGGGTCCTGGCGCTCTGTCTCTGTCTGTCTCTCTCAGGCTTCCGGCCTGGGGTTCGCAGGGCAGAGGAAGCCTAACTCGGGAAGAAGGAACTCCCACTAAGGACTTTATCACCTACACCAGCAGCTTCCGCATAAAGGGACAGGAGGCAGCATCAGAGAGGCAGGCCGTCTGCCCACGCTCCGTCCAGGGCATATTCTGGAAAGGGTGGATGCGGCTATGCCCTAAGCGCTGGGTCCTCACGGAGCGCCCCGCAGAGGGAATGTGGAAGGAAGGGTGGCCCGTGGGAGCCGGGAACCGCTGGGAGGCAGGGCCAGAGAGGGAGCTGCCCACGGCTTGGGCTCGGGTGCCGACAGCCCTGCCGGTGGAGCAGGCCAGCCGGCCGTGCCAGAGAAGACTCGCGTCCCGGAGAGCGCGGCCTGGGGGCTGGGAGCCTGGACCCCCCCACCCCGGCCCCAGCAGGGTGCCCACTTTGCCAGGCAATTCACAGGGCAGTCGCTGTCTGGGGAGAACGCGGGCCACGCAGGAGCTGCGAGAGGTAGACGCCGAGCGGAAGCGACACGGGGCCCACGCGGGTGCCTATTGCGGATGCAGAGGTCTGGGCTCTGGGGCAGCCCGGCCGGACGCAGCCCTGCTTGGAGGAGCTGAGCTAGCCTTGGGGACGGCCAGAGGGGGCCCAGAAGCAGGCCGCGGCAGCCCCCGGGGTTGGGAGTGGGCCCAGCCGGACAGCAGCGGGGTGCAGGGACCCACGCCCCCCGGCCAGGGGCTCGCAGCAGGACAGCTTGGGCAGGCTCTGAGGGCCCCCCCCACCCCGGGAGCCAAGCCCTGCCAACCTCAGGGGACGAGCCAGGAGGAGGGTAAGGGCACCAAACCCAGCGGGGTGGCAGGCAGAAGGGAAGAGAATACAACAGTTTGAGCCAAAAATCACATGAACCCCCAGAATGCCGGGATGTCAGCTCTGTGCCTTCCAGGAGCCAAGAGGGAGAATCAGTCTGAGCAGAGCTGGGGAGGGCGAGTCAGATCAGTGCCCTCTGGGGCAGTGTCCCCGTTCCTGGGACACCTGGTTCGGACATCAGAGCAAAGCAAACTGCCCCGTGGAGCAGCAACCCCTTCCCACCTTCCCATCCCCCTCCCTCCCCGCAGGGCTTCCTGTGAACTGGTGGGGTACTCGGTGCCCGCGGAGGGCCCCCAGAGCCCCCTCTCAGACTGCGTGCAAGGTGCACACTGGGCTCTCTGAGAGGCTCCTAGTGCAGCCTCTGGAGTCAGAAACCCGCACCAACCTCAGCAGGGAGACCCGTCCGATCCCATAAGGAAGGCGGGGCCCAGAGAGGGCGAGCAGTGGGCTCACAGGCAGCCCAGCTGGGCCAGAGCCTGAGGCTGAGCCTCACGGGGGAGGGCGCCAGGCAGGACCCTGGGAAGAGCAATGACTGTCCTCACGGGCCACGGGAGAATGGTGACAGTACCAAGGACAAGACGGGGACAATGGACAGCTGCAGCACCAGACCCCGCCCCCCCAGGGTCGTGGACAGACACTGCGAACACAGGGGATAGCCTCTCACTCCCAGAAGGTGGCCACTTGGCCCCAGGAAAGCCAGGAGGCCCAAGACGGTGACCCGGGGTGCCACAGGGAGGGCGTTGCCAATGCCGCTCGCCCCTCCGGCAGGAGCTGTGCCCGCTGGGGCCGCCGGTGCCCGGTCTGGGGGCTTCTCCCCTCCGGGCCTGCCCAGCACCTCCGAAGCCTCGGGGCCCCAGAAGGATGGTCGACTCCGCCCAGCCCTCCCGCTCCGGGCAGGCCCGCTCCCCGGCGTCGCACACGCACCGGCGCCGACCCGGGCTTGCGGTCACGGGCCCCACACGGGGAGGCAGCCGCGGCTGCACACAGACCCTGGGCTCTCCCCCCGGGGCGCGGCTGGGTCCCTCCCCGCTCTGGTCGGACACTGCTGGACAGACACGGGAGGGAAAAAGCAGGAAAAGTCCTATCTCGGGGAGAAGCAGCCCCCCCGGCCCACAGGCAGGGCCCCCCTGCTCTGCGCACAGCCCGGCCCTCAGGGCACTGACTCGAACTTGGGGGGCCCGCGCGCCCAGCTGAGCGCGGCCAGGGGCCGCTCGTGGTCCTTGTCGGACTCGGGCTGGCTCTGCGCCCGCTCGGGCTTGGGGTTGGCGGGTGGGTCGGGCTGCTGCACGGACATGGTCCTGCGCAGGTGGTTACGCTTCCGCAGGAACTCGGGCTGGGCGTGCAACCCGAAGCTGCCCTTGCGCAGGACCATGCGTGAGTTGTTCTTCTTGGGGCGCGAGCGGTGGCCGGCCTCCAGCGCCGCCAGGTGGGCTGCGTAGCCCTCGCTCAGGAACTGCGGGGGGGGGGGGGGGGGGGGGGCACAGGCGTCAGGCGGGAGGAAGGGCTGCGAGCTGCCGCCCCCGCACCACCCATGCCCGCCCTACCCGGGTCCCCAGCTGCACCGTGGAGCCTGGCGGGATGGGGAGCTCAGGACCCAGAACGGCCCCCCGCGCACCCTGAACCTCTGAGCACACCCATCCGCAGCCCTGGGGTGCACAGAGCTCTGGGCTCTTGATGGGGGGGTCCCTGTCCCCCTTTGCCACTAAATCCCCCAAATGCAAGTTTGTGCCGTCACCCAGCCCCCCTCCACGGACTCCATCAGGTCCCGGCCCCCACGGCGGCCTTCTTGCCCATCCCCCCGCTGGGTCCTCACACCCTGCTCCCCAGAAAGTGAGCTGTGGATCAGCAGCAGCTGCAGGCCCTGGGCCGACGGGCAGGCTCTCCGGCCCCACCCAGGCCTACGGATGTGACCACGCCCCAGGACGCCTGTGCATCAGCGCCTGAGAAGCCCCGGGTCCCGCTGTGGGGGGCACCGTCTCTGCGCTGCACCTGGGGGTCGCTGTCACACCCCGCAGTCCGGGGAGTCATCACCTTCCGTTCAATCCCCTTGTTCAACCTGCTCTCAGTCCCCATGACGGCAGCACCTGTCTGGTCCCCCGCGCCAGAAACCGGGCGCCGTCCGCGGCTCTCCCTGTCCTTCAGCCCACACGTCCGACCCGGTCACTTCGGGCTCCAAGCCATCCTGCCTCGCACTGTCTCTCGGACGCCTCCCCTTCTCCCGATGGGCCTTCCACCTGCAGCCTAGGGATCGCTCTGAACCACAGACTCACCGCCAAGACGTCGAGGACACGGGCCGTGAGACAGGCGTGGGACTGTGGCCCCCCAGCCAAGCCGGGGTCCTGCTGCCACCCCCCACCTCTGCTTCTGCTGCTTCTGCCGCCAGTGCCCCTCCCACCTCAAGCCTTTCCTGGACAATTCCTTCAAAGTCCCGAAACCCGCCCCCCATCTTCGCTGTTCCTCGCTGGGGGCCCAAGACCCCCTGCTCCCCGCCACGCATCAGGCCTCGTTTCACTCTATCCCGCTGGACGGGGTGACGTGACATCTGGTCCTACCAGGAGCCTCCCGGCGCCCACACGGGGCCTGGCCGGGCACGTGCCCACTAGCGCCGGTGGAATGAAGGGCAGAGCAGACAGAAGAACCAGCCGCCCGCGCCGCCCCCCCACCGTGCCCCCCCACCAGCTGCCACCCACCTGGCACTGGGTTTGGTACTTCTTGGCGGGCCGGCCCACAATGAAGATCTGGGAGGGCGGCAGCCCCAGCACGCTGTAGACAGAGATGTCCTTCGTGGAACCGTAGGCTGCACTGATTCTGATGAAGCACTGGAACACAGGGCGGCCAGCTTCACCCCGCGTCAGGAGGCGCCCCTGCAGGAGCCGCTCCTCCCGCCCTGCCCTGCACCCCAGGCCAGCTCCTGGGGCAGTCGGAACCTCAGCACCTCTGACCCCACTGGACAGGGCACTACAGGACCCAGGGCCAGGACTGGAGGCCGGGTATTCCTGGCCCCCGACCCCCAACCCTGTGCCGCCCGCACCCCCCAGACTGTGGTGCTCACACAGCTCCCGGTCGGCTGGCCACCCCTGATGCTCACCCTCCGGCTGCTCACTTTGAGCCCCCACTCTGGTCCCACCATCGCTGGGGAGAGCCCACTGACCACCTCGGCCTCCACCTTGGCTTCTTCAAGGGCATTGGCCTCCAGGACTGAACCCAGAACTGCCTCTCTGGCTCTGAAGGTCCACCTCCCCACTCTGCCCTTGCTCCTTCCCTTGCAGTCGCTCACAGCTTCACCTCTCACGGGCCTGGACCCTTCCTCCTCCCCGCCCCGCCGGGCCATGCCTCCGCTGCTGATGACCTCCAGGCCTCTGATCCTGCTCGACCTGGGCCTGACCCTGTACACATGAGCCTCTGAGACCATCCCAGGCTCGTCTACCTCAGTGCCTTTGCACAGGCTGTTTCTTTGGCAAACTCACATGCACGCTTCAGGACTCAGCTCAGAAGATGCCACCTCCTAGAAGCCTTCTCTGCCCCTGTCTGCAACCCCCGCCCCCCGCCCCAGGCAAAGCCACCTCAGTCCTCCTGTTTGCCCAGAGGCCTGTGCCAATCTTGGACCCGCAGGTTGTCGGTTCACCTGTCTTTCTTTCTCTGGGTCAGGGACTGGCAGACTTGCTGTGAAAGCCCAGATAATAAGTACTGTGGGCTCTGCACGCGCGCACCCACGGTTAACACCACATAAGCAAATGACGTGGCCGTGTTCCAACACAACTGTTTACGGGCGCTGTGCTGGGGCCTGGGTCCCACGGTGAGGACCGCTCCAGGTCACCGCTCCGGAGGAGAGGACAGCTCGGTGCCCGAAGCAGGACTCGGATGGAGCACAGTGGCCACTTAGGTGTCCACTGAATGAATAACCAGATGCAGAGACAGAGTTCAGGCTTCGGAGTAGGAGATAAAAGAGGACACGTGTGACTCTGGGATCGTGGGCGAATCACTGAGCCCCAGTGAGCTGTGTCGTCCTCATGGGTCCCTGCGGACAGCACCCACCTTGCGGGGCTGTGCGGGCTCGCAGCGAGACGCACGGAGGTGCTCTGCACCCAGGTGCGGTTACGGGTGGAGGGCGGAGGGGAGGAGCGTGCAGCAGGGTCTGGGGGCTGATCTCTCCCCTTCCCTGCTGTGGGGACTCACCTCCTGCACGAGGTTGCGGAGGAAGATGGCCTTCTGCCGCAGCGGGTCATGCACCAGCCCGTCCGAGAAGAAGATCATGCCCTGGGGGAAGTTGTGCTGAGACAGCCAGGACACCACCCGCTGTTTCTGCATGTCCGGCCGGCCCGTGATGTACAGGATCAGGTAGCCCAGGTCCTGCCAGTGTCTGTGGACACACAGCACGGCGGGTCCAGCCCCGGGGCCTGCAGCCGCCGTGCTCCCCGCCTGCCCCTGCCCTGGGCAGCCTCCCCCCGGTCTGCAGCCCTCCTGAGGAGCCCCCAGGGAGAGCCAGGGGGAAGGACTCCAAAGCCACACTGGGGCTGAGCCCCAGGAGTCCCGGACATCTCCCAGATGGCCAGCAGACACCGCATGCCCACCACCAGCTGACCCCCACTGCTGCCCCCTCTGCTCCAGTCCCCGCCCTGAGCACCTCTCCTCCTTCCAGCAGGATCTGACCACCCTCCCCCTCAGCTTGCTTCTCTGCCCTGGCTCACAGCTCCCCCACTCCAACCCAGCCCGGGCAGCCCCCAGGACTGCAAGCCCATCTGTACGGTGGGGGCACAGGGGGAACTGCCACCCAGGGCTGACCTAGGGCCGACAGCTGGGCCTGGCAGGGCGTGCTGCTGCAGCCTGCGCTAGAGGGCCGCTTCCTCATTATCCTTGGGGCTGTTTCCACGGAGACTTCTGTCAATCACAGACCTATCCCCTCGCTCCATCCTGGCTCCCCTGCTGCGTCCTCAGGTCTCCCTCCTCTGCGCACCTGGGGCCCGCCACCCCACACACACAGCAGCTTTGCTGCCCACAAGCCTTGTGCTCTGCGGCTGCCGCCCCCTCCCCTGCACAGCCTCCCTGGCTTCCTCTCTTCCCGTGCCCATCCCCCTGTCTTTCAGGGCCCCCTCCTCCAGGAAGCCTTCCCAGCCTCACCCGGGATCCCGGCTGCAAGACACCAGCTGGGCCCGACCTGCTGGGGCTGCTGGGGCACTAGCCACCCCTGGCTTGTCAGAGACCGGGGGTTTCCAAACCTGGAAACTGACCTGAGAGATCGGGGAGGTTTTGCAACAAAGCACGGGCCCAGGGGTCACCCCGGGGACTCCGGTGAGCTCTGAGCTGGGGCCCAGTCGTCTGTTTATCAAGAGCAGCTTCTGATGAGTAGCGAGGTTTGCAGAGTGCCACCGTGGCCCAGGCACCCGGGCGGACAGGCCCGAGCGCTGGAGGGTCCCGGGGGGGCAGGACCACAGTCTCCCCTTCCCAGCTGTGGGAGGGGGACGTTCACTCACTGATTTGGGCGGGGGCTGGAGATGTCGTAAGAGGAACGAATGCCCCCCCCCAGGGGGAGCTGGACCCTGTCCAGGGCCTGCAGGAACAAAGGGCATCTAGCAGTCAGCTGACTCTGGGAGCCCCTAACCCAGGCTGGGCTGCTCTCCCCACAGTGCCCACGGCTACTGCGAGCAGGGCCTGGGCTCTGTCCTGTCTTGGGGTTCTGTTCGCTTGGAGTCCTGGGTTACAGTTTCTCGAGCCCGTGACTTGTCTTCCCCACGGGACTGAGCTTCCTCTCTCTAGGAGTTCTGTCTGCCTCAGTGCCCAGCTGGAGCCTGGAAGGGTGGAGGCAGGGAGGGAGGGAGAAGCAGGGAGGGAGGGAGGCAGGGGTGGAGGCTGGGAGGGAGGAAGGTGGCCCCTCTCTTGCTTTCCTATGGGCAAAACCTCTCTGCGGGCCGTTTCCAGCCACAGCTGCCGCCCCGTCCGAATCCAGCTGCCGACCCGGTCCCACCTGCTCCCCGCACGCGCTCTACCCTTCCCTGTCCTCACGCTGCATCGTCTTTCTGGCTGATCAAAATCAGCAGTGTGTTTTCTTCTTCTTGCTTTTCTACGCTCGCGACTCGGTGCAACGGCGTGGACTGGAAACATGCATCCATCCATCCTCTAGAGGCTGTTTCTAAGGCCACCTCTCTCAGGAAGCCTGCCCTGCTTTTCCCCAGTCTCCCACTTAGCCCTGTGCATTAGCTGGTCTCAAAAGGTGGCCCCCAGGGAGCCACGGGTCCCACATTCACACCTTCACGTGGCCCCTTCCCCACGAGTCAGGGTGGATTCCACCACTACTTACAACCCATAGAACGCAGTGCAAAGGTCACTGCGACCCCCAAGGCTGGGTCATAAGAAGGCTTGCAGCTCCCCCTGGGTGTCCAGACTAGCCACGGAGAGCAGCCATGTGGGCAGAGAGCGAGCCCAGCCAAGGAACAAGAGCTCACATGCGTCCAGAAGCCACATCGAACTGCAGCCTAGGGGGCCTGCAGACGACCCCAGATGGCCACCTGGCGGCGAGTCATGGGGACACATGGCAACATCAGCAGAGCCCTGGCAACCCACAGAACCACGAGAGATGGAGTGATAAATGATTATTTTTGGCTGCTAAATTTGGAGGCATTTCTCACAGAGATAATCTGAGTACACCCACTGTATCCTGACCAGGATCGGAAGTCGGGAGACCAGGCCTGATTCGCTGCAGAGATAAGTGGACGCAGAGAGGGAGCGGGGAGCTGGGGTCCGCGAGTGGCAGGGTGCTTCCGGGGGGCCCTGAGTCACTGAGACCAGGACTCCCCAGCTCCCAGCCCAGACAGCATGCGGCCATCTCCCCGGGCTGTGGGTTCCTGCCCCCGAAGGCGGGACACCTCCCTCGCAGGGAGGGAACACTCACCGGACAACATCCACTGCCCCTGGCCGAACCTTGGGGTCACTTCCCATGATGGACACGCTGGCGGCGAAGGACCCGTCGATGCTGAACACCACGCACTCCATGCCCCGGGGCAGCACCGTGAGGTAGCTCATCGCAAAGGTCTGGTCACCCCTAAAAGGCACCTGTCTGTGGTCAGCCGTGCATCCGGGTCAGGTGTTAGCCTGAGGCCAGAGGTCAGCCTACAGCTGGGGCCAGAGCTCGTGGGGGGCCAGGGTCAGAGGGGAGCTGGCTGGGCCTCCCGGTGCCACGGCGGAGACCCTGTCCATCTCCGTCTCTCCCCACAGACAGGGATGAGCCCGCGGGAGAGCACAGTCCGCAGGTCGTGAGAACGCGCCCGGCATCTCACCTGACCACCATCTTCACCGGGTAGACGCCAACCCCCAGGCGCCGGGGCCGCGGCACGCTGTATGTGATCCGGCCACTACTGTTGGTGATCTCCGTGTCCAGGTGCACCCAGCGGCCCGAGGACGGCTCTGCCATCACCAGGATGTCCACCTACATGCGGCGGGGGGCGGGGGGCTCCCTGAAGGCCGGGGAGCTGCCAGCATGGCTGAGGGGTCAGGCCAGGGAGCTCTCCGCCCGGTGCCCCTCCCGCCTCTCAGACACACCGAGGTCACGCCTTCCCCCAGCTCACCTCCGCGACCTGCTCCGGGCTCCACCACCCGCCTGCCCCCCCAGCCTTCGCCCCTCCTGCCCCGTGCAGCTCGCGAGGGACGGCGCAGACCCCATACCTTCTCCCCGGTCAGGGCCACCATGTCGAGGGGCCCGTACATGAAGCGCCCCACCAGGACCTGGGGGCCGTCTTCGGCCGCGATCACATCGTTGGCCCGGTGGTTCGCAGTCACGTTCTGAAAGGACAGAAACGGGCTCGGCCGGAGCTTGCTTCTTCCTGACACCGTCCTTAGGACGGCCGGAGGGACGTGTCCCTGCCGCACCACGCCTTCCCGGGTAGACCTGAGCCACGTTCCTGCGGGATCTGCGAGAAACACAGACCCATGGACCCCAGCGCAGTCTCCAAGGACAGACAAGCACGCTCTGCTCCTGACCATCCCGCACGCCCCACGGGAGCGGTCAGGCCCTGACTGTCCTCCTTCCTGGGTCCTGGCTGGATGTGGCCGGGACGCCTCTGGGGCTCCCTTCCTGACCCGCTCACCTCCCACAGCCATTTACTGGGAGAGGGGGACGTACCAGAGCGGAGGGAGCCATGTGCGCCCCTCACCAGGCACAGCTGCTCCGGGCCCCCCTCCCCACACTCCAGAGCATTCTGGACGGGAGTCCTTTTGTCCGTAACTGCCCCATGTCCCCGTCCTTCCAGTTCTGGTTTCCATTCATCCTGCAGCTCAGAGGCCTCCCCGACCGCACACCACCCCCCCTCAAGTCGGTGGCCCTCCCCTTACAGGGCTCTGCGCACACCGGCTGGGGAAGCACTGCAGACTCATGGTGCCCACAATGACGTCTGGATCCTGAGCTGAGCCGCATGAGCTTCCAGTGCACGTCCCGCTGCTCCCTGTCCAGCCCGTGGCGCTGCCCCCGGGCCTGGGCCCACCCTGGCGCCCCGACTCCGCGTGACCCGAATGCCAGCCCACCCACCACTGCAGCCTGGCCCGGCCTCGCCCAGAAAGCACCTGCGGACTCCTCTCAACCCCCATGGTGTCTGCGTGCAATTCAGGCAATTCAGCTGCAGGCCCCTCGCGGGCACGAGTCCCTGGGCTGGGTGCCCGGCACGTGGGGACGAAGCAGTCAGGGATGCTGACCTGCACACAGTCGGGGGGCGACACAGTCCCCCCTACAAGAACACTCGAGGGGGGAGAGGGGACTCGTGCAAATAAACACACAAGATGCCCGCGCCGCCCGTCGCTGGGGAGCGCAGAGCCACACCACCAGGAGACCCCAGTCGCGCTCGCCGGGGCCGCCGGACGCCTCACCAGTGCCCGCCCCCCACACAGTGTAGACCGGCGCAGCGGCCTTGGAGAAGCTTGCCGGCCCCTCCCACGGACAGACTGGAGCTTCCCTGCTGGGTCCGCACCCCACAGAGCGAGAACACGTGTCCACGCAAAAGCCCGTCACATCGCTCCAGGCAGCCGGCCAACGGTAAACGGGTGTGTCCCTGCGAGGCGAGACCGCTCGACCACCCGCTCGGACAAGGGACGCCCCGCGAGAGAAGCCCGACGTGGAAGACAGCACGTTGCGTGACCCATACACGGAGGGCCCACGGCGGGTGCATCCACAGACAGCAGTGCTGGGGGTGGCAGTGGGTGAGGGGCATGAGCAAGGGGTCTGCTCCTGAGGCCACAACCATGTTCCAGAATGGACTGCAGCGATGTTTGCACACGTCGCGACCACACTGACACCCACTGAGCTGGGCACGTTTACACGTGGTGTAAAACGTGGCTATAACTCAATACATACGTTTACAAAAACAGAGCTGATTCACGGAGTGCCAATTACCTTCTGTCCTCGGGACTGTTCTTAGGGTCCACGTCAGATGCTCCCACCCGACTAGAGGCGCCCACCAGGCCGGGGGCTGTGTCCCTAAGCCCCTACACTCCCCCCAGCAGAGGACACAGTGGCCACATCCACACTTGATGATGGTTGGCTCAGTAAAACATGCATTTATGCCTCCCAAACTCCTGTTCCTGCTTCAACACCCTGCAGAGGTGACTCCTGTTCACGGAAGGCCTGCGTGGCCGGCCCTGAGAGTCCCTTTCTCCTTCTCCCTCTCCCTCTGTTGTGGCAAATACCACAGCAGGCCACGCTCAGTGGTGAAGCAGACGGTGGGCCCCACGGTTGAGGGCAGGACTCCGACTCACGTCCACATCTGCGGAG